GAAAAGTTTTATGGGGTTTATCTATTTTTTTAATTAAGGTTTTAACTGAGACAAATAATTATGCACTGAACAGCTCGAGTGCTGATTATTATTATTATTATTATGATTATTATTATTATTAATTATGGGAGGGTAACGGGAGGTATTCGAGTATGATGAAAGTAAACGGAGGGTGGTTCTAGTTCCTCGGATCAAGAGCACCATTGAATCCCTTCAAGGTGCCTTCTACTGAAAGAATGAAATATATGTATCATGGGGAAGGGACAATGATAGAGGTGAAGGGGCAGTGGGAGAGGTGAAGGGGAAATGGGAGAGGGGAAGGGGCAGTGGGAGAGGTGTAGGGGTAATGGGTAATGGGAGAAGTGAAGGGGCAGCGGGAGAGGTAGCAGGGTAAAGGGAGAGGGGAAGGGGCAATGGGAGAAGTGAAGGGCAGTGGGAGAGGTGGAGGGGGAGAGATCAGGAGAGGGGAAGAATAGTAAGGTCATTTCCCCTCTTCCACTTGACACACGCGTTAAACTTTCCTTTGTCAATACCCCTCTTGTAGATACATTTCCCTCTCCCCTACCCCTCGCCCCAAAAGCTTCCCCATACCCTCTGAGGGGAACCCTTCCCTCCCCCTCGTTTAATAACCAGCTCACCCCCAGATACACTCACCTCTCTCCTTCCATATTGTCCTACCAACCAGGTAATCTCCCCCTCACCCTTCATTCACAGGTAAACTCCCCTCTTTCCCCCCACCCCCAAAAAAGGTAAGGTGGCACGGAAGAGGACGCACGTGCGTTGGTGCGTGCACGCACGTGACGCCAACCTCCCTCTAGTTAATGACTCCATCTCATTAATTATGTACAGCCTATTGTTATTACTGAGGAAGAGGCGTCAGGCAGAAGCGAAAGTCCGCTCGCTAAGGATCACATGAACTACCTTGTTCGCATTTTTTTTTTTTTTTGGTAAGTCGTATACTAAATATAAATAATTTGTTGCTTCGAAAGTATCCATTTAAATTAATATTAATATTATTATTATTAAATATTATTATTATTATTATTATATTTTCTTCATATTCTTCTATTATTATTATTATTATTATTATTATTATTATTATTATTATTTTATTATTATTATTATTATTATTATTATAATAATAATAATATATAATTATATTATTATTATTATTATTATTATTATTATTATTATTATTATTATTATTATTATTCTGGGGTGATTACCTATCGCTGGCCAGGTGACGTCACGGGGTGATGCCATCCAGGAGCAGCAACAGCAGATTACGGGGCCATGCAGGGATAAACCAGCAGTTAATCTCATAATTATAATATGGTAACGAGGCCCACGTGCGCTTGTTACACCTCTGGCTGGGGATGGGTCACCTGGACGGCAAATGGCTGTTTGTCAGGCAGTTAGCTGATTATATTAGATTGGTGTCATTTGCGACATTATGGCCGGATTTAATGCTAGGATTATCGACTTAAAAGCTGGTAACAAGTATGTCCCCTACGCCATAGTAAAGTTTATTACATGTCAAATTATGACCAGTCAATACATATATATATATTTTATTATTTATTATCACACTGGCCGATTCCCACCAAGGCATGGTGGCCCGAAAAAGAAAAACTTTCACCATCATTCACTCCATCACTGTCTTGCCAGAAGGGTGCTTTACACTACAGTTTTTAAACTGCAACATTAACACCCCTCCTTCAGAGTGCAGGCACTGTACTTCCCATCTCCATATATATATATAATGTATATATCACTAATAAGAAAATCATAGGTATGGAGAACTGGTTAGATAAATACACTTTCCTGCATGAAACATATAGTAATCGGTGCTTATCTGTTAGCATCGTCCTGTCCAGCAGCCTCTCCCTGGACATCCCGTCGGGGTGTCGTTCCAGATTCCACAGTGGCTGTGTGCTAACAAGTTTGTTAGTCATATAATTTGCCCCAAGGAGCGTACATCTCAGCATTTCACTATCGTCTGAAATGCTTAGTGATACTTAAGTAGGTTTGGGTGAATCACCCACGTATCACGGGATCTGTTGGTAACACCCCTACCTATTAGCTGTAGCTAAGGTGATCAGGTGTGGGTATGGCTGGACTTACCTGGGTATTGTAACTGACCCAATTTTCCCTAGTCTGTGGTATGGGAAGTATGACCCCGGTATTGATGTCTTGAGTAGGCTGCTACAGATGCATAGTTATGTCCTCACTCGTCGATAGGGAGTCACTTCGGTCAGTTTTTTTCGCGATAGGGTGATATCTTGTCCCTTTGTTCGTAAAACCTGAATACATACCGCGACACAAACTACACTTATCGGGATTGTACCGCGGATGATATCACTCGTGTTTCTTTTTAACACTAGTTTTCCTAGTGGAGATTGACACTATTTCAGAGTTTAAAGCACAAAGTCAGTGTTTTCTTTGTTCTCAGCGGGAGATTTGTGACATGTTCACGCTCTCCTGTCTGAATTCAACCTAGCTTGTCGCCCTGCCCAGAGCTCGCAAGTCACCCTCGCACAAAAGAACTGCTGAGTTCAGCTTTATATCTCTTCCTTACTACACATTGCAACAGTATTCATTACAAAAGGGCAGGTTTCTTGTCGTTTAGCTATAGACTAGAATTCACTAGCCCCTTCCGGGAGGGCTAAGCCCCCTCAGAGGGCTGAGAGATAACCCCTTCACTGGAGAAATTTCTCCACAATAGGTACATCTCTCCATTGTCATTGTTTTCGTATTTTTATGTTCTTCATATAAATACATTTGAATATTTGCAACCATAAATTGAAGCCTTCTGGGATCTCTCATGAAGATAGAACTGTCATTAGTATTTGTATTAAATGTGTGAGTGCAGGTAAGCAAATTCACGAACCGTCGCCAAGAATAGGAAAAAAATAAATAGTAGGTTTTAGTTCATCAAGACTAGCACAGAGTAGTCGTGGGGTAAGTAGTCACTGTGACACTAGTCGTCCCTTGCTACCACGTGCTTCTTTGCACTTCGCTGCCTCTTATTTCTTCATAAACATTACCACCTCTGAATTCGTGTTGCCATAACGTTTTCGTTTCCGCTGATACAGGCATTGTATGCGTAGTTGGTTTACTAGGCATCGCGTTAGCGTGAAGTGGAAAGTGCGGTGTTTGCACTTTGAGAGTCGGATGGTATTGTTGTGACTCGACGAATTCTCAATATAGTGTGATGTCTGTCTCTGGGAAAAATAGATAGGCACGAAGTGATATTGAATATTTTCTTCTCTGGATCACAAGTTTATGTAAATTAAGCCACACGCCCGCGCGCGCGCACACACACACACACACACACACACACACACACACACACACACACACACACACACCACGCTACCTTACTCTGAGAATACGTTCCCTCGATCCACCTGTTTCTGCTCTTGCAACATTGCATGGCTCCTAATGACGCACAGAGACGTGTGAAAGATCCTGAGTTGAAGATTACCATTCCCCGTGGCTTGTCTTCCATTGTTATGATACCAGGGAAGAGAGGGCATTCTTAAGTTGACCCTCTGCCATACTATATTCACTGAGTTATTTAAAATTGGTTTCAATTAATATAGTCATAATGTAACGAGTATTCTAACTCATTCTTTTGTCTCTCTATTCCTTTCAGGTTGCGACCAAGAGAAGTAATGATGCTTCCTTCAACCTGGCAGTACCAACAGCACTCACCAAATGTATCACCGCCTCCTTGCTCTGCCTCATCTGGTGGCGACTCGTCAACAGGCTACGCTGATCGATATCTAGGCAACAACTTCTTTAATTCTCTTTTAGGATGATGGGGATTTAGAATAGCATGCTTCGTGCATTAATTACTGGTAACATGTGGGCATTTTTTTTCAATGTCTACTGTTCTGTTACCACTTGGACTGTGGCACTGCGGGGAGGTCAACGTGGTGTTTTTGTGTACCTCTCTGGCCACGTGTTGTTGTAGGCCGTGGAGGTGATGGCTCCCGGCGTGTGGGTCACCTCCTCGGCAAAGACAAGATAAGGATCTGCCTTTAGTGATGGTTTTGGGATCCTGCTCATTCCCTCTGGTCAACCATTAGATTTACGAAAATAAAATCCTGAACAACTGTTGTTCACTGTAGGCTTAAGATGTGTTGCCATTGTTATTATAAGGAAAAGTCCCCAAAGAGATGCCTCTACGAGGCAGTATCTTAGTGAAATAACCGCAAGCTTTGTAAATTGGGTGCATCAAAGTATAGGGATTGATCATTAAGTGATATACACGATCGGTTTTGTGACTAAATATGTCTCCGTAATTAGTTCATATTGTGGCCTTGGGCCTAAGTGAATTAATTTGCATCTTACTGTATCATTACACACATCCCTTAGGTTTAACTACACAAGACCTGATTGTGTCACTTTTCAGCACTTGAAAGTTCAAAAAATTAATTGTGTAGATTTTTCAGAATGTTTGTAATAATTCCTATAAATAAAGTTTTAAGTAACAAGGCTTCAGGATTGCTACATTTGGCTCACTGCCCAATGTCTTTCACTATGAAGTAATGTATTCAGCAATGAATATTCAATTATTGTAAACTTTGATCGATGTGTGAATAGGAAAAACTGCGTACTCCACTATCTCACAACATTCCAAAGATTAGCAAGTTCTAATAAAACTGTGTAATTAATTACTGATTTTGAATATAATTTCTTGCTTCAGCCTCACTATTTATTAAAGGTTTATACTACTGAAGCAAAGCCTAACAATCCCTGATTAAAACTACAATAAACAGTAGTCATCATTACGTGTTGTGAAGCTTAACGGACTGGGTTAGGAGGGGGAATTACTGAAGGATTTCCTGACAGCCTAAGAGGGGAACTACAATGTTCCGATTAACTAACACTTATGACATTAACAAACGACTGATCTCACTTGCCGCTAGTATTGAACGCTCAGCGCTAGACTACCGTGTCTTTCAGGAGAGGCACAATGCCCTCTCTCTCAACTTCACAGGGAGTAGATGCCTACTTCCTGCTTACTTTAAGGTCTTTCAGGGGCGTTGGGTGCTTCCTTCATGCTTTAGGTCTTTCAGGAGAAGCATATTCTTTTCCAGTCCTTGAAATTAGTCTTTCAATGGAAGCACTCTTCTCCCCACTCTTAAATTTAAGGCTTTTCAGGGAAGGGCTACACATCCCACAAAAGATTTTTGAAATGGGAAACGCCTGCTCCCATTAGTCTGTAAGGTTTGACGCTAAAGGCAAAGTTTTTAAAACGCTTTATTAATGAACTGGCAAGTAACCCAAGCTTTGATCATTGAATTTCTAATTTAAAAGTTACATAAATGTAAAAAAAAGTCTTTTCACAACAAATAAGTATTTCATATGAAGATAAAGGAATTTTTTAAGGTGTCAGGGTTATGTACACCGTGAGTTGCGTATCTTTCAGTATTTATGTACTGAGAGTTTTCTTTGATAGTTAAATGGGTTTAAAGCCTATCGACTACATGAGGCTATGGATTAACGTAAACTCAAGTGTATAAACAGACATAACACACACACACACACACACCTTGATATATTGATCTAATTTAGAGATTAAAGTATCCTTGACTGATGTTAAGGCAACATGTAGCCTTAATGACCCTCGTGTAATTGATTGGCTTTAAACCCATTAAAACAACCAATGTTGAGGTGTCATAAAAGATTTTCACATTGAATATTATGTAGTGTAAGTGCGCGTTCTCTCAGGACTTAAGTAAAAAAAATTTGCCTTTGGTGTTCGCGTGTGTACATTGGAATAAGCTGTTGTGGTGCTGCAAGTAATATAAAAAGGCATTGTTCTGTTTTTGGATACGGTTTGGCAATTTTAATAAAAAAATAGAACACACTCAGGCTAGCAAATAAGTACTTTAAACAATGTCAATTATGGAAAATGAATACTTTTGTTTAGGAATTAATATAAAGGCACTGAGTACAGTAATGTCGTCACTTTGAAAGCAAGAGAGAGTGTTCTTTTCATTTAGAGATTGCCGAGCCTGTGTCCGCGATCATCAAAGCTAAGAGAAGTGATAAATTTAGCATTTAGTGTTGCAAACCAAACATCCGTCGCGGCCCTATGTATGGCCTTACTGATGTGGTGGAATCACTCCGTAAATGCAAGCCTAACTTAGGAAAACTGAGCCAAGGTTGCGTTTATCTGTACTTAAGCTGAAGTGAGTCTGCATGACAAGCCTAACCAAATGAGTTTACTTACATAAATACAAGAAATATTTTTTTTATATAAAATTATTATCATCTATATTTTGATCTTTTTTCGAAACAATGTCAAGGTTTCAGTCATGCAGATGATGTTGGTAAAATATATTTTATTTCAAAATTTGCAAATTATATACACCCTCTTCTAATAACTACATACAACCTCTAATAATAAGAGTATAATTAGACTTCTAAGTAATAAGTATAAGTTAACATACACTATGGCAACATTATACAGCTTAAGTCAACTTTATTATGCCGAGGTTATGTATAATTTTATCCTTCGCAGTAATATGTTAATGACACCAAAAACAGCATAATGATTCTTCAGTTATCAGTTTTACTGCAGGGTTAACACATCAAGCACTCTTTATTTTCTAGTCAATGTCTTCATGAGCAGGTTAAGAGTTTTCATGAGCAGATTAAGAGTTAAGAATTACGTAAACAGTTTGCTTTGTTTTTACCAGTTAAGAACGCTTTTAATTCAAAATATAGATAATAGTAAACCAAAGATACGTAGACAGAGCAAGTCTTTATTAAATTTAAGTTTCGCTCAGCGAGTGCTTCATAAAGCTCCTGGATAAAGCTCACACTGTGCAAAACGTCGCGTTAGTGCAGTCTTTCTATCTACGTTTCTTTCTTATACTACTTGTCGACTTACTGCCTATATTTCACAAATAAACAATAATAATGTAAACTCAGTGTCTGAACACTGGAAAACACTTCTCGTAAGTTTCTGCATTCTGCTCATGTGCATCAAATTGTATATCTTAATTACAGGTATATTTAAGACATTCATCTATTACAGGCTATATGAATGTTTTTTTTTTTTTACCTATTACAGTCCCTTACGGTCAGATATTATATTACTGATAAGTTAATATTATATTATATCATTTTCTTTATAAGTTAATATTATGTTAAGGTATCGTTTTCTTTATATTTGAATCTGGATTTGACTTCGTCAGTGATTTATTATACCTGCTTTCATCTCCAGCGTTATTATTTCTGTCACGTTTCGCGTATTTCTCATGAATGATATTTATCTTGTAAATTTTTTTACTCTTAAAACAAATATTGTTTCCTTCCAGTGCCATATTTTTCTACTCATTCCTATAAATGATTTGGGCATTGAAACCATTATTTTTTCGTTTTTGTAGAATATTATTGTTTGCATATTTGTGTGTGTATAAGGTGAAATTTACATAAATTTGTATCAGTCTTTGGATATAATGTTTTGCAAAATAAATGTTGAAGTGACGAAATGGAATGATTATTTACACCTTAAATGATTAGAAAAACAATATAAAAAATGTCATATATTAAATTTTATTACCGAAATTTGATATGAATTGATTATACTGTTTAATTTAAGAATGATAAAATTATCCCGGAAAACAGCGATATTTGCATTTATGGAAGTTATTACCATGTAGAAAGAGAAGAGGAAGTGGAGTCCCTAATACATGGTATTGTGTACCTGTTTAAGGAATTTGTCATTCTACGATGAGCTACTAATGTGTCTACATGGTCACACAACCAGTTGGTAACCAGAGGCTCTCATTAGCCACTTCTGGACGAGAAAAGCTCACAGGAACTCCTTCAGCCCACAACTGAAGGACTTGGGATCGATCCCGTGACTAGTGGAAGCACAGATCATGTTTCCTTATTCGTCTTACCCATGTTCATCTATCTACAGGTAGGTACCGGGTGTAGGCCGACTGTTGTGGGTCACATCAATGAAAGGGTGAGGTGTTTGCATGCACTAAGACGGCTGGGCTTTGAAACGCGCTAAGATGATAATAACTGTTAATCTGTAAGTTTAAGTTTGAGCAAAAATGTGCCAGCTATCGTCCTAAAGACATGCTTGATAAATTACTCTTAAGTTAAAAGATATATTTCCATAATACATGGCATAAACATTGAGGTATTGAAAGTGAAAGTATTACGCGAAACTGATGCCTGGTGCCTGCGGGTTTAGCTCCCAAAGAGTTGGTTTTTATGTAGAGAGAAGTTTCACACCTCTAGGGACAGGAGCTCTGCTGTAACGCATCAGGTATGCAGTAATATCTCAGTGTACTTCACTTCTGTAGCCCTTAACAATCATACAATAGTCACCCTCGCAGGTACTACGATACTCACCCTCGGAGGTACTACAATAGTCACCCTCGCAGGTACTACAATAGTCACCCTCGCAGGTACTACGATACTCACCCTCGCAGGTACTACAATAGTCACCCTCGCAGGTACTACGATACTCACCCTCGCAGGTACTACAATAGTCACCCTCGCAGGTACTACAATAGTCACCCTCGCAGGTACTACAATAGTCACAGGATGATTTACTTGAACGTCACAAAGAACAATCTCTACCACAAACTAAACAGAAGTAGCCTTGATGCGCATTCACTGCTCATTCTTCTACTTTACCTGGAAAAAATCACCTGATGAGAAACAGAACAAGTGACTAGTACAGAAATACTTATAGGCAGACGTTGTAGATAAGGCTACAAGTCATTTCTACAGTCCTGCTGAAGTATGTTTTCTTTTGACTGATTATCTAGTTGATGTTCAGAGTTATTGAGATAGATGGTGTAGCTGTTGTTAGTATATTTCATTAATTTTTAATAATATAACTATTGTTTCACCCGCTCGTGAACTTTTCATCTTTGGCATTTTAATTACTAATAACGGCCTTAGATGAGAAACATTAATATTATATTATAATCATATACCGCTGACAGAAGGGAATAGTGCCATGACACCTGTTTACCAAGCAATATAGGTCATCTCAGTAGTATAGCTTAAGGCTGAGTCTTTGAAATGAGCTAAGCTAAGACAGCAGCTCTTAAATCTGTTTATTTAAAGTTCATATTAGCACCTAGAATTTTTTTAATTCTTGTTTATAATCAGAAAGTCTCAAACTGTGATGACACACTACAGTTCGGGGATTTTGGTGTTTTATTCCATTACCCTTTACACAGGAGGTTCAGGTGTGTTTTTGAGTGTCATTTTACACAGAGGATTTAGATGGCTTATAGCATATCATGCTGGTTAAGCTGTGTAACAAGTCAGCAGCTTACTTTAAAAATGAAACAAAAAAATCTTTGACCACTTGTGAATAAGTTCCAATTCATGATCGATTATTTTTTATATTGTATTCAAATAGTAATCGAGTTTGACACGAGGCAGAGAAGAACAATTCAAGCTCCTTTGCTAAAGAGTCCTTTAATATAGTCACCCCTCCCACCCTAGAAGGTACAGCTTACAAGAGCTGTACATGAGAGTCATGTTCCTCTTTGGCTCTGAGTCACTTGGAACATCTAGTACCATTACCAGCGTATTTTACCCTCAGGAGGCGTAAATGAAATGCCGTCGAGTATGAAAATAAACGAGTTTCAGAGCAAGCTTGGGAAGGTGATGTTCCACTCAGCGAAGAGAAACTTTAAACTTTATTGCGATAAATCTCTACACGGACTTGTTCTACAGTTTTGTATCCATCTTCACCTCTGTCCCGAAATATGCACTAAAATATGCTGAAGCTTTATCACTGCAAGATACAGAAAGAACGATAAAAGGAATCGAAAGCAAAATTTAAAGCCGAAAATATTCATTCTTTTTTTTTGTCAACATCATGAGATACATCTCATTATACGAATGCCTTCGGCCCATATCATCAAACACTAGAATACTTCCAGAAGGCAGCAGAAGCTTCTTAAACAGGATGTGACTCCACCAGTAGTAGAGTTTATCCACACAGGATATGACTTTCCCGCAATTCTACAGCTTTCTTACGCAACTTTTTCCCCTCATGGATGTTCTTTGTTGTGAGAATAAATAAAACATTCATAAAACTGTTTACAATATTTAATTGTGTGGAATATCAAGTACATCTCTACAAGATTGTATCGTCAAAACATGTGTCAAAATGTTAATATAATTATATATATATATATATATATATAATATATATATATATATATATATATATATATATATATATATATATTCGTTATTGTGCCGAATAGGCAGAATTTGCGATCTTGGCTTAAATAGCAACGCTCATCTTGCCATATAGGACAAGTGAAAATTTATGTATGCAATAATTTCGCCAAAATCATTCTGAACCTAAAGAAAAAAATATATTTCATTGTGTTTGTTTAGTATTAAATTACTGTAAACAAATCTAAAATATATTTTGTTGGGTTAGGCTAAAATAAATTGTTCTTGTTATAACAAGGTTAGGTAAGTTTTCTAAGATTCTTTCGGTGCAAAATTAAATTTTTTTACATTAACATTAATGGAAAAAAATATATCTTTAAACATATAAAAGAAAATTTAGAAGGACTTATATTTAAATATTTGTAATTGACATTTTACATATTCGATCGATATATATATAATATATATATATATATATATATATATATATATATATATATATATATATATATATATATATATATATATATATATAATATATATATATGTGTGTGTGTGTGTGTGTGAATGATTTCAGTATACAATAATTAAAACATTTTTTTAACAATTCAAGAGGGTCAATGTGTCAAAATTAATATCAGTGATTATTTTCAATTAGTGATTAAAAGGTGATATGTAGCGTTAATGACCCTCGTGTGTTGATAAGCTTTAAGCCAAAATTACTAATTAATCAGAACCCTGTATATAATAAAGACATCATTTCTTAATTTATAGTTTCATTATAATAAACATATTTCTTGGTGTTATTATTAAGTTTATATTATACTATATATATAACCTTTACTGATTAAAGGACAACTCTTATATTATTGTGATTATGTTTACGTATAAAAAATATCGTACAAAAATACGTAAATACAAGCAGAGAATTAAGACAATTCTAATAAATATTATATAAGAAATATGTATTTATTTGTGGTGTTAAATCGTACTGAAAAGGTTTCTAAAAAATTACATATTTAGCATTTAGCAAATCCCATTTCAAATATCATGGATGGTATAGACGATGACTTGTAAAAGAAAAAAAAACAATTAATTACCAATGGTTATAAATATGACCATAATTTTTAAAAGGGTGGACCAGTAAGCCAGCGGAAGGCCTCAGTCAGATGACCAAAAGCTCCAGGTGCGGGTCATCTATGACAGACCCGTGTCTGGAAACATATATTCTGTTTCCTGACAAACCTTACCAAACCAAAACCAAGAGAAAACCAATAACTGGTTGGAGGACGGAACTCCTCACAGGGGAAGGATTTCATAAAACTCCCTTGGGAATGTAAGGTAAACAGGTTTGATCCTAGCAAGGGAAGGGTGGTTTCCACTCCTGGGCTCAAGAGCCGATCACCAACATCTAGGCTACCCTCCTCCGCCTCCACAGAATAAATCTTCATTTGGACGACGTTTCGCTTTGGATATTCTGATCAGTATGTATCTCTTGATGCGTATGAACCGAGAGCGACCATGTATGTACATCCCGATAAGTATACATTTCAGCATGTACATTTTTACAGTTAACTTTGATCCCTATTTTAGCGTTTAAAATATCCTTGACTGGTTGTGAACAGGTGGCGTGCAGCCTTTATGATCCTCTGTATAGTCAATATGCTTTGAACCTGATAAACAATCTGAGTAGAGACTTTTCCAAGTCACTTGAAAACTTAAAAAAATTTACTTAGATGTTTGACTAACTGGGCGATTATTTCAAAGGGTCATAAAAGCTACGTGTCATCTGTTCACCACCAGTCAAGAACACTAATCTTTAAAGTAGGGAATAAAGTAATCTTTACTCAGAGCAAAGAGTTGTCCAAACAAAGGCATGTTTTGCTTAATTTCATCTTTATAAAAAAAATTCTGGTGATGCAAATTGAAAAATTTAATTCCCAAATCAGCCAGAATGCATGTCACTGCATTTCATTTAACATCAGGGGCCTGTTCATGCTACTTCCTTATCCATACAAATTAGCAGCAAGAGTTGCGTGTCGCTTGAAGTAGCGTATGACATTCCACTGGTGTAACGAGCAGTGTGATGCAATCTGTGCGGACTGGATGAAATGGAGAAGACACAAGTTGAGGTACAAGCTTTTACTGGGGCACAACTTTATTCTCTGCTTCGCTTATGGTTTGATGAAGTTCTACCCAGAAGGAATGTCTAAATAAAAGCTTGTTGTGCGACTTGAGTCTTAGTCGTCATACTGAATAAATTGAAGCAGTAGTAACAGGTTCTCTTCTTCGCACCTTCAAATAACGAG